CTCACAAACACCTCCGCTTGATCACAGCCCAGATGGGACCTTCTGTTATTGAGCCCTTACTGTCTTCCCCGGGCCCACACCCCACCTCATTTACATATAAGACCTGCCTGACCCCCAGACACCCCAGGGAAGCAGAGATAGTTACCCTGTTTTACACAGGATTCGGCAGGCTTCTTCCAGGGCCACATGGTGAGACCCCCAGATCCCCACCCAATCCTGGGCTGTACCCCGGGGCCATCATGTGATACCTCAATCTCACCACCCCCACCCAGGCTGGGAAGTGGACCTAGGCCTGTCCAGCCCAGAATCATCATCACAGTGTCCAGGAAACTCAATCCTGGGCCCCAGGGTATCAGGGTAATCACACAAGTCCCCAGGATGCAGCCCCAGAGAGGCCCTTTGGAGGCTGAGAAACGGGATTTAACTTCCTTGCCCACCCCACGGGGATTCACAGGCCGGGGCTGGGGCGAGTTCCCTGAACCCAAAACTGATCCCAGACACATTCTAAATCTTCTCAGAAAAATGGCATCTGGCTGGGCTCCTGCCTGTAATCCCAGCACTTTGGGAGGCCGAGGCGGGAGGACCATTTGAGCCCAGGAGTTTAAGACCAGCCTGGGCAACATAGGGAGACCCCATCTCTACTTAAAAAAAAAAAAGGCCGGGCGCGGTGGCTCAAACCTGTAATCCCAGCACTTTGGGAGGCCGAGACGGGCGGATCACAAGGTCAGGAGATCGAGACCATCCTGGCTAACACGGTGAAACCCCGTTTTTTGAGACAGAGTTCCTTATTCTGTTGCCCAGGCTGTAGTGCAGTGGCACAATCCAGCTCACTGCAACCTCCCCTCACCAGGTTCACGGCATTCTTCTACCTTAGCCTCCTGAGTAGCTGGAATTACAGGTGCTTGTGCACCATTCCCGGGCTAATGTTTGTATTTTTAGTAGAGAGACAGGGTTTCGCCATTTGGCCAAGCTGGTCTCAAACTCCTGGTCTCAGGTGATCCCACCCGCCTTGGCCTCCCAAAGTGCTTGGGATTAAAGGAGTGAAGCCCACCTGTGCCCGGCCTGTGCCCAGCTAATTAAAAATAAATAAATAAAGATGGGGTCTTGTTCATGTTGCCCAGGCTTGGTCTTGAATTCCTGTACTCAAACAATCCACACACCTTGCCTCCCAAAGTTGTGGGGATTATAGGCGTGAGCCACCGCACCCTGGCCACTTTTATTTATTTATTTATTTATTTATTTATTTATTTATTTATTTATTATTTCTAGAGAACAGAGGTCCCCTATGTTGCCACAGGCTGGTTCTTGAACTTGGCTCAAGCAATCAGCCCAACTCGGCCTCCCAAAGTGGCGGATTGAGAGCATGAGCCACTCCCTGCCCCCTTTCTGGAAGATTCGAGGCACAGTGGTCTGGAGACAGACTGTCTTTCTGTCTTTCTCCCTTGTCTTGAGTTTGCATCCAGCTCCCTGTGACCTTGAACTTCCTGGGCTCAAGTGGATCTTGTCACCTCAGTCTACTCCCGAGTAGCTGGGACTGTAAGGGAGCAGCTACC